CGACACTTTTCACAGGTTTCTTCCCTCCCGACGAGATGAGACGAACGGATGACGAGTCGACCCACACAACAATCATTATTGTTCATACCTCGAGCTAGAGGGTACAAACAATTGGCGCCCACCGTGGGGCTTGCTTTCACATCCATTTCTGTGATTGCCGATCGAGGAAGGGATCGCGGTAATAAAAAAACCCACAAAAGCTTCATCGGAACAAAAGAAAAGAAGAAAAATAAATCCTCGGCAGCGGAGCTCCTTATCCTTGTCGATTCAGCAAACCCCCTGCCGGCGGTGAGCCTCGGCTTCTTCCCCGATCGTCATCCCGGTCGGATCCTTCAACTCCTTGCCGCTGGTCTTGGAAACTCTGCACGTATGGCCCAAAACCCCGGCAGCATCAGCACCTCTAAAACAAGCTGAGCAGAGGAACATACCTGCCCTGCCCACAACATGAGCAGTCAATATTCAAGGAGAAACAGATATGATGTTTTGGAATTTCCCAGATTCCGACCATCGGAGATTGATTCGGCGCCGGCGCTTTTCTCTATGGCCGCGCGACTAGCCGACGACGCCTCCTTCGCATAGCTCCTCCCTGGATGGCGACGCACCTCCAGCTACTTCCCGCACTCTGCCCATGCCCTTCGCTCTTAAATCAATGGTCGCACGACAGCAGGACTTCAAATCGTCCTGCGCCCAAGACCACCTTTCATGCGTCTCTCTCTTACGCGAGCTCCGATACAGGAGTGGCGGCGAACGACAACGAATGGTAGCGCGCCTCTCCGCCCATCGACTGGTGCGCATGCACGATCCAATCTGAAATCCGCGCCCGTCACTGCCCGACCAATCCGCGCCCGTCTCCGCCAGCACAGTCGGCAGAACCTACCAATTCAGAGAAAATAGATGAAGTTGGAAAAGCAAAAGGCAGCCAACGCTCGGCGCTGGAAAAAAAATTGATGAAAGTGGCGGTTGTTCATTGAAGCGGACCCAATACCGCGAGTCATTGCCACAAACCTAGCCCTGGCGCATGCCATTTTCTATCCTTCCTGGTCCGGCCCGCATCCTACGGATGTCTCCTAACGAGCTCGGCCCACCATCCGCGCCACCACTTAGCAAAGACTGGCAAATCCGCTCATCCCCACCATAACGCGGCCCGCTCCGAAGTTGATTGGGCCCGCCCGATCACTGGCGCCTCTCGCTCCGCTCGACTTCATCCGGGCTCCAACTTGAACTCGCGTCGCACATGGCCCGCCACAACAGCACCCGCGAGCACCATGGGCCCCCATCAAGTTCGCGTCCTCGAGCCCACTTCCAACGTACCGCCAGGCCCACAACAGGCGCTCAACTGGGATCTTCAAAAAGATTTTGTTGTCGCCACCAGGATTTGAACGCGCGCCAGTTCTTTGCATAATGAACGCTCACCAGTAGACTACGCAACTACGTTGTGACCTTTAGGCGCAACACTCTTATTTAACTCTCATCCACCATCCAGCGCGGTCCTGTCCAACTCCAACTCGCGGTCCGCTTCACGGCCAGCTCGCCTGGCACTTAACCCGCGTCGACGCAAGCCCAATATCCGTCTCGCGGCCCAACGACACACCACCAGTCCCGCTCCGCCTCAATCATTGCTTCAGGCCGCACCCTCTGTTCCGATCCGCGCACACAACGGGCTTTGCCCCGCCTTCCGCTCCAACAACAGTCTCGCGGCTATTGGGCGCGCTACAGGTCCACCACGACCTAGCGCGTCTCCAACGCAGATCGGGCCATCTCCAACTCGCGGCCCGCGTTCAACAGACACGGAACTCCTAAAAAAAAATGAAGTCGCCGCCAGTACTCGAACCAGCGCCACTTCTCCACCAGAAGTACAAGTTAACCAGCGGACTAAAGGGCGCCCTATTTAATCACTCTGACTCGCCTCAACAGCAACGCGCAACATAGGCTGTCGGGCAACTCGCGGCCCACCTCACCGCCTGTCCAACTCGCGGACGACCTCCATGGCGCACCTCGCGCACAACTTCGTCCACTTCCAAGCTCGCGGCCCAAGCATCGCTCGACCGCCCAACTCACGGCGCACAGCCCACACTGCTTCCGCATCAACGCTATTCTCGCGGAAGTTGGGCCCTCTCCAAATGCGCGGCCCGCTCCACCACCAATAGATGCACCCGGCCCGCCAAGTGAAGCTGTAGCGTGCAAAGCATTACAAAAATCATGTGCTTAATGTGGGATTCGAACCAGGGTTCAGTCACTCGCGGGCAAAGCAATATTACCAGAAGGCTACATGCTAATCGTGTGTTTCAATGGCGCGGCGTCTGATTTTTAACTACTCGCGCCCACTCAGTTCCACGGAACAAAAAATAGCAATAGTCATTAACTATTCGCGCCAACTCAGTTCCACGGAACAAAAAATAGCAATAGTCATGAACTATTCGCGCCCACTCAGTTCGACAGAACAAAAGATAGCAATAGTCATAACTATTCGCGCCCACTCAGTTCCACGGAACAAAAAATAGCAACAGTCATGAACTATTTGCGCCCACTCAGTTCCACGGAACAAAAAAATAGCAATAATTATGAATTATTCGCGCCCACTCAGTTCCACGGAACAAAAAATAGCAATAGTCATGAACTATTCGCGCCCACTCAGTTCCACGGAACAAAAAATAGCAATAGTCATGAACTATTCGCGCCCACTCAGCACGATGGAACACAAAATGATAAACTCGCGTCCCGCGCAACTAGCACAAGTGAGCCCAACTCGCGGTCAAAAATAATATCGTCGCCGCGAGGGCTTGAACTATTCGCGCCCACTCTGTTCCACGGAACAAAAAATAGCAATAGTCATGAACTATTCGCGCCCACTCAGTATGATGGAACACAAAATGATCAAATCGCGTCCCGCGCAACTAGCACAAGTGAGCCCAACTCGCGGTCAAAAATAATATCGTCGCCGCGAGGGCTTGAATTATTCGCGCCCACTCAGTTCCACGGAACAAAAAATAGCAATAGTCATGAACTATTCGCGCCCACTCAGTTCCACGGAACAAAAAATAGCAATAGTCATGAACTATTCGCGCCCACTCAGTACGATGGAACACAAAATGATCAACTCGCGTCCCGCGCAACTAGCACACGTGAGCCCAACTCGCGGTCAAAAATAATATTGTCGCCGCAAGGGCTTGAACTTGCGCCAATCTTGTACTAGACAAGAAAGGCAACCAGTAGGCTACAAACCATAATCATGATCCATAGGTGCAGCGTACCATTTTAAAGCTTCGCTCACTCACAGAAAAGGAGCCCACCACTCGCGGGCCCGCTTCGTAATCATCCGCCCAAACTTGCAGCCCAACTCGCGCTCACGCGTTCAGCAGTAACGGAACCCTTCAAAAATATTATTATTATCGCTGCCGCCAAGAATTGAACTCGCGTTACTCCTCCGTGAGACAAGCAACATCACCAGCAGGCTACATGCGCGCTTTGTGATTCATTGGCGCAACACTCTTATTTTAACAACTCTTCGCGCCGCTTCGCCAACATAAAGCTAAGTACTCTACCCCTCTATCATTATTAAATATTGAAATATTTTACTTTCCTGAGCGTTAATAGCGCTAATGGAGGGCAAGACGCAAGAAGCTGGCACCGCGTCAGTCAAACGCGCCACCAGCTGGGGGCAACTGGGGTTAGGGATGGCAATGGGGCGGGTTTGCTTAAACCATCCCCATACCCATCTTCAAATACCCAAACCCATACCAGCCCCATACCCATGCGGGGGAATGTTTTGCAAACCCATCCCCATACCCGTGGGTTTCGGGTACCCATGGGTAATACCCATACCCGTACATCCAACATTATTATACCTAATACTTACAAGAAAAGTTCTAATTATAATTCTAAACGAACATATTATATCATGAAGTCAATAAAACACGGTCATTTTTTTAATATGGTTTAAAGATTATGATCCTAAAATATCCATTAATACATAATATAGAGTATAATATTTTTCAAATTATTATGTTCAAACTCTGATACATCTACTAAATAATAATTAACTAAGATAATCTTGTTGATAAGGGGGAATGTGAAAGAGTGAAATGAGAATTGAGAGAAATGAATTAGATTTTGATTAAGGTGGTCAATCAATTGCATTTCTACTATTTATTTTCTCAAGTTATCCTCATCATCATTGATAGATTATAATTTGATGCACATATTTTATATATATATATGAAGAAATTATCTTAGTGGGGCGGGTATGGGGATGGGTATGGGGCGGGGGAGGCTAAAACCATACCCGCCCCATACCCATCAAACTTTTTGCGGGTTTTACCCATACCCGCCCCATACCCGGTCAAAGCGGGGATTTCCCGCGTTGACTGGGTCGGGGGCGGTCGGATACCCGCGGCCATGGGTTTGATTGCCATCCCTAACTGGGGTACACAGGGCTCCATCCAAAATTATCGATGAAGATTTTTTGAAATAAAACAACAAGCTAGCGATGAGTTAAAACTCACCACCAGCTTGGGGGGCAATTGTTGGGGGTGTTACTGAAATACTCCGATTCAGACTAAGTAGGAGGGCGCACAATCGACAATGGGCAACACTCGATACCCCCTACAGGTCCAAAGAAACGAACTTCTTCTCTCTCCTCACTTTCCACTTTCTACTATCTCTCTACACTTTATCTCTCTATCTATTCTCTCAACTCTCTCCACAAACATACACTAACTTGATCGTCGGAGCTTAATCCGGGGGGCAACCCCGGCACTTTTCACAGGTTTCTTCCCTCCCGACGAGATCAGACGAACGGATGACGAGTCGACCCACACAACAATCATTATTATTCATACCTCGAGCTAGAGAGTACAAACACTACCTAAATTGTAATTTATTAAAAAAATTAATTAATACAATTTATTTTTCATACCCAATTTACCCTTAGTAACCAGTAGTAATCACCGTAACCTGTCCCATCTATATATCCCAAATATCGGTACCAAACTTTCTGTCCTGATTAATGGATACAGAAACAACTACCCCATAAGCTGTCGGGAGATCATGGGTAAAAAAAAAGGATCAATCACAATAAATTTTCAATTGAAAATCGCTTGGCGATGGTACAAAATAAATACGAGGCCATGGGAGCTAGTCAAGATTGACTCCTCGGGGAGGGCGGGGAGTAGTATTCCACTCTCTATGAGCATTAAGGTCCTTATATAGTTTAGGGGTTAATTGTATGGTTTGACATTGAGATTACGAAAAACGTTCAAGTTTGGTCATTCGAAATATTTAAATCTATTGGTGGTACTTCAGGTTACTGAAACTGATCACGTTTGGTCTCTCTCAGTCCAACTCCGTTAACTTTGACTGATGTGGCAGTCAACTCTCAAAGTTGATTGTTAACTTAGTGACGTAGCAATTAAGAAATAATAAATAAAATAAAATTTAATCTATTTTAATGTTCAACTTATTTTTACCTAAAATAAATAAAAATAAATAAAAAAGTATTATAATTATCAAATTGAAGCATGGAGAACCGTGAACCCGGTAAACGAGGCCGTGGGGCTACTTTGAACGGGTAACTGGCACGTCTGCCAGGTCGTAGTGGAGACGATGCTGCGCGGCGGGACTCTGAGCCCCATCCCTGAGTTTGTGGCCGAATCTCAGGCCTCCGATGAAGCTTCGGAGGTCGATGTTGGCTGTAGCGAGATGTGGAAGCTCAACGGCAGCAACGAACGAAGCCCGAGCCATACCCAGAGTCCAATTCCAAATCTGAGTACACATTCTCGGTTCTCGAGTTCCAGATCCAAGGTCTCCCCGAAGCGGAAACGGGTGGGGGAAGCAGCGACGCCGCCGACTAGAGTGATGCTGCTGCCGATGAATGATTTGGATCTCTGGCTGACCCCGACCCTCTCTCCCAAGGCTGTTCCGCTGTGCAAACCGGATTTCAGGCGGCGTGGCACACCTTCGATGAACTCCGAGGCAGGGGCGGAGCCAGGATTTTAAGTTCGGGGGGCCAAAAATTTTATTATCGTAAAAAAAATATATTGATGTCACCCCACAAAATGTTATTTAAGATAATTATAAGCACTAAAAGTATGATTTAAATTAAAATATGTATCACGACATGTTCAAAATTATTAAATAAATTTCAACAAAAATAATGCACCATGTTCTTCAATTTATGATAAGTAACAAAGAATGTCTATAAAAAATGAGAAAATAATTGAATTATTCGCTATATAGTTAAAATTATCTTTGAAAATATAAATGTATAAGTTCAATTAAATTTACCTAGTTTGAAGTTAAATTACGTATGTAAATATGAAAAATCAAATTAAAAGACAAGTAGTAGTAAAAAAGGAGTTGTTGATGGGTATTGAACTCACAACCTCCTATATAACAAAAGTCCACTTATCTACTGGACTAAAGTAACCAGTTCAACAATCAAATTGCACAGTACAATTATATATACATGTATCTAAATTAATACGTAACTTCAAATTCTCGTGGTATTTTAACACGATCTTCAAAATTCTCGGGGGGGGGGGGGGGGGGGGGGGGGGGGGGGCGAGTCCCTACGTAGCTCCGCCCCTGCTCCGAGGAGTCGGTGACCACTTGTTTCGAGAGCAGCGCTGCTGGGGCGTGGGGCGGTGGAAGAGAAGAAGTTGCTCAACTTGTTCGTTTGATCGATCGGACGGGCGGAGAAGATGGAAGGCGAGAGAAAATATTTGTCTCTGCCACCGTCTTTCCCTGTTTTTGGGCACCCGTCTATTTTTTCATTTTTTATTTATTTTATGGTAAAAATGAGTTGGACATTAAAATATATTAAATTTTATTTTATTTTTTATTTCTTAATTGCCGCATCACTAAGTTAACGGTCAACTTTGAGAGTTGACTGCCACGTCAGCAAAAGTTAACGAAGTTGAACGGAGAGTGACCAAAGGTGAACGATTTCAGTAAACCAAAGTACCACCAATGGATTTAAATATTCCAAGTGACCAAAGTTGAACGTTTTTTGTAATAGCAGTGACCAACCATGCAATTAACCCTATAGTTTAGTATCACTTTATCGATTATTCGTTACGAGTCTTCCATAGCAAATGATTTGATGGAGGGTTGGATTTGAGACAGATTATTGGAGCGACAGTAGCCAATCTAAGAGGCTCATGCTACTCATTGGGGGTTGTAAGGAAGCGAAACCTTCTTGGCAAGTTGTTTTGCATACTGCAAAGCATGATTCCAATTGCACGATACTAAAGACTCCTTTCTCGTAGAGGGGTTTTCTTTCTTTCTTGCATGAGATTAACAACTCCCACTGCCCCACAAGAGAAATGGTGCTCATGAAAACCCATAAGAAAGTTTAAGACTACTTGTCTTGGAAGCTACTTAACAACCGAGTGCTGAGAGTATAATTGTTGAAACCTTGAAAGCACAAACTGACCAACAATGACGGTGAGCAGCTAATCGACAGCCATTGCCTCAGAGCCACCAGATGCATCCTCGGCCATACCCTTGTGCTCCTCAATGGCCATTCTAGTCTCCTCTATTAAGCTCTTCTGGTCTTCATCAATGGTGTTTTGTAATTCGTCAACCTAGAGAAAAAAAGGAAAAGACCAATCATTTCAGCTACCAGGAAATGCAGATCACAAAGTGAAGAAATAAAACAACAATAGTGGTTCAGCCTATCATAGCATGTTGAGCATCTCAACGAGAAGTGCAGATATTCATCAATCAGCTGTTAGAATTTAACTGCAAAATCAGGAATTTAGACCAACAAGATAAGTTCAAGTAAGCAACAACACTTATCAATGATATATGTCCTGCAACAATTGTAGAAACAGCTGAGAATTACTTCTTAATGTATTCTCGATTCATTATTAATTTTCCCATACCTCCACTTTGAAGTTCCTTCCTATTTTTTTTTATTATATATATTTTTTTCCTTCAAAAATGGATAAAAGAGGAAAATACATCTTCACACTCTCAGTCGGTTTTGGTTGAAGAGATGATCAAGGCAGAACCAACGTATCTCATCAAGGCTGCAGAAGGAACGGAGATATGGTGCTCAATTATTATCACAAACGTTAATGACAGTTGTTCAGGGAACAGGTTATGCTTTACTGCTATGAAGATGGACTTTGTTTAAGGAAAACATTCAAGTTATCAGGCAGCTCCTGCGATCAACCAATTTCAGTATAATAAAATCATATGGGCAATCAGCTAACAAGTTTTCATGCAAAAGGCTTTACATTGTGTCAACAAACTTGGCTTTAGAGAGCATAAGTATTAACAGAGGTACATATGATCTCAAAACAGGTTCAGCAGCTAAGCAGTTTGAATCAAGCACCAACTACCAGCTAAGCAGTATTATGGCACGAAATGGTTGATCAAGCACCAACAACAAAACATAGCAAGGCACTGATGATGTATGAGTAACCAACAGATCAGAAAAAACCTCATTTGGGAAACTAGACAATAAAGGAAAGCAACAAGAAGGATGATGAGGCTATTTACTTCAGAAACTGAAAGGAAAGGCTACAAGAAGATTATAACATCAAGAACATAAGGAGAAAGAAGTTGCAGCAGCATACCACATGCAACAGTAAAGCAAACTGTTTTTTGCGGAGTTCCAGCAACCTAGAACCGACTGTGTTCTCCGTCTCCAGTGCCACAATCTCTTTCTCCAATTCAGTGATGACTTTCTGAGTTTCAGACCTTGGGGGCTGCATTGCAATCAATTTCCTGATTGCCTCACACTCTTCCTTGTGCTGCCTTTCGATTTTACTCTCTTCAAGCAGCTTCTTCAGATCTTCTATATCATCCTGTGCCTGCAAGATCTGTTTGTTTATCTCCTTCTTCAAATCGTTGAAGTTCTCCTTCTCTTTGATGTTAGCATCAATAACTGCCTTGCTCTTAAGGAGAGGAATCTCAAAAGTATTCAGTTCCTGCAAGAATGCCTTCGAGAGTCTCAAACAGTCACTGTGGTTGTCTTCTTCCTTACCAGCCTCGATAATAAAAGTTGAGAACTTCTTCTGGAGCTTCTTCAATGGAGGTTCACCCCTAGTAGTTGTTGTGCGGGTGAGAAGTCTATGTTTGATGATCATGTCATCCTCAAGAGGTCCAAATGCATAGTTTGCTGCTGCTGCTGTTTCTCCCCTCACAGGGACTTTCCTTCCTTTAGCCAACATCTAAATTCAATCACCTGCAATTGCTGCCAGTAATGTGCTATCATTTTCATTCTGCAATCAGTCTACAGACATAGCTCGTGAATTTAATGGACTTGCAAGCTGCTAAAACATCAATGGCTTCCACAATGCACACTTTTAAGTAGTATGGAAGGAAAACAGGTTCACGGTCGGTCATGAAGTGAAATTGGAAAAAGGAACTGACTTTTTGACAAGACCTAAGTCGATTTGCTAAAGCAAGAAAAACGTCATCACCACTTCCGGTGAACAGAAGCAGATAAAAAAGGGTCTACAGCGGCAAATACTTCAGCTGGACTCGGGAGATAATACACAGAGTACGTCAGTAAGCAATCTACCCATAAGCAGAGATCGAAAAACTGAAGATAATCTAATGCCGGAAGAATAACCCAATTCTCTCAGGAAAAAAGTTCGTAATTCGTAGCTGAAAGCTAACGTTCTATCAGTTCAATGCTTAGCACGCACTAAGAGATATCAGTGGTAAGAGCAGATAAAAGACACATAAGAGCAGGAACTGAAATTAGAACAAGAACAGAAGTTGCAATCGGGATCAAGGCGGGTCAGGGAAAACGAAACCCACAACTTTCAAAACAGACCTATAAGGGGAAGTGGAACCTTACGATGGTAGAGACGCCGAGAGGAGACGGAACGTAGCAGCCAGTGGAAAAAGGAGCGGCCTTAGGCGGGCAACCCGGCGGAGAACAGAGGGACGATAGACGAAGGTTAATGCGTCAACTCGACCTGGAGAGGATAGAAATCGATTGGGGAGGCGCTGGCGCCGACGATGTGCTATTTGTGCTCGATTTGCTGGTTTCGTTGTTGTTGCCTTTTCTTTAGATTTTGTAGACGGTTGTGTTGAGATTCTTTTAGTAGCTCTAATTTTATAATTATTGTCCTAACTTAAAATATAATACTATAAAATTATTCTCTATTATTTTTTTAAGATCGCTCATGTTATTGAGGAAAATCGCTAGATATAAAGTTACATGGCCGAAAACAATCAAGAAACAACCCAACTAAAGATGGGAACAATAAAATAGCTCTTCTTGTCACTAAATGGCTATTCTAGGGTTGGTATTAAGTAAACCAGTATCCGGTATAACCGGCTACCGAGCCGGTTACCGACGTCCGACGGTATCCGGTATACCGAATACCGGCGGTATCGGTATTCGGGCGTGAAATTCTCCATTCAGTAATACCAGATACATAGCGGTAATTACCGGCGGTATATAGGTATACCACAATACTGAATCTTATAAAAGAATAAAACATAGCGGATTGGAATTGGGAATTGGTGGTAAACTAAACCCTAATCGTCATCGACCTCGCCAGTCGTCTCCCCCGCAACACGCCGCTCTCGAGCTCAAGCTCCTTTCTCCTCTCCTCTGATTCAATTCGAAAGGCGACGAAAGCGATCTCACTGCCCCCAGCAGCCAGCCCCAACCTTCCTCTTCCTCTTTTCTTCACCACCAGCATCCATCAAGAGTCCCCGGCCGAAACTGATATCGCCTCCCCAACCTCAGCCCCAGGCATCTCCGTCTTCCTCCTCTTCACCACCAGGCACCAGCAGTCGTCGACAGAGAGAGCTACGCTGCCCCCAACATCTCCGTCTTCCTCTTCCCTTCATCACCAACAGCAGTCCCCGATGGAGAGAGCTATGCAGCCGGCGGCCGCTTCTTGAACCGACAGAGAGTGGTAGCATGGTGCAATTCCGACCACGATTGAGGATTGAAGAACGAATTGAAGAAGTAGAAGAAGAAAGGAAAGATTAAGAACACATGACTAGAAGAGCAAGGGAGTTGATAACTGTTCGTTGAGTTCGAGTTCAAGGGCAGAGGTGCAGAGCTGGTGCGGAATGCGGACACAATTTCAGCCATTGTTTCCTCTTCCCATTATGGCCGACGGCGAAGGCTATTGTGAGGTGGATTTCAGGGAATGATTCTAGGGGTGGGCAACTGGAAACGGGTATTTAGGTATACCCATACCTAGAGGTGGCAATTCTCAATCCAATCCACCAATCCATTAAAAATACCTACCTAATCCAATCCATTTGATCCAAATCCAATTGGATTCGTGGATTCATGGATTGATCCATGGATCAAAATGTCAAATTACGATTTGGTACCTATACTTTTTATATTTTACATTTTAGTACCCAAAATTTAATTTTATACGAAAAATATCATTGGAAAATTACGTTTTGGTACCTAAAAATTTTCATAATGACATTTTAACATTTTACATATTGGTCCTAGGTTGAGGATCTCATTTGGATTCATGGATAATTCACCAATCCACTTGATCCAATCCATGAATCCACCAATCCATTGGATCCAATCCATTTGATCCATGAATCCACCAATCCATGGATCAATCCATTTGCCACCTCTACGCCATACCCGTCCTATTTTTTGAGGGTTACGGGTATTCAAATACCCATAGTTATTTTTACAGGATGGGACTTGAGATTAAGAACTTCTACAATTGGTCCTCGCGGGTAACCCGTTAATACCCGTTTGGGTATTACGGGTACCCGTACTACTCGTCCAACCAAGCCATTAATTTGAAACAACAATGAATGAACATACACGGCCTGTGATACGTGATAACATATATTACTACAACAATATATCCACTGTCTTCACCTACTTAATTGGGACAACAATATATCCACTGTCTTCCTTCATTCTGTATAAATCAGAAGCAGTAGCTTCATTAAAATTCAATAGAAAGAATTCCTACCACTGCCTGCATGGGGGCGGTTGAAAGTCCAATGCTTTCTCTATTCATTTTGTATAAAACAGTAGCAGTAGGTTCATTACACTTACAATTCAATAAACTAAATTTCTACGCCAGTTTTGCCGCCAATAAGAACTCAAATAACGAAAATCACACAAATTTATGGGTACCCGCAGGTACCCGTTATCCGTCCCGTACGGGTAATGGGTACCCGTTAACCCGTACGGGTTTGGGACATGGGATGAAGTTTTCTCTTCAAATGGGATTGGGTACCCGTTTCAAACGGGACGGGTACCCAATCCCGTCTCGTTGCCCACCCCTAGATGATTTCCATCTGTCTCTTTTGCTATCGGGATTCGATATACCAGTTTTATACCGATTATCGGTTAAAATCAGGGCCATATTGTCAGTTCCCGGTATATCGAATACCAGGTAACCGGTATATGGCATACCGAATACCGACCGTTTACCAGCCCTAGGCTATCCTATTACTATTCCCACCACGAAACGAAAAATACACATCCCAAGTACATTTCGTAGACACATGATCTCTTCAAGCATCATCCCTTTACGAATGTCCACCGACTTCTCATCCACTATCTTGTCTATGACCGTCTTTCCGTCCCCAACAAAAGTTATCGTGGTCGATCCTAGATCGAAACACCATCGCATATAATATACCCAACGTAAAAATATTTTTTTACTGCACAAGCCCATCATCTTTTCAAACAATGCACTATTGAACCTGGACCGACGATAGTGTCTGACCCATGACTCTCCCCAGTGAAATATTGGGTCTGACCCGTCCTACTCCTGTGGGTAAACAATTGTGCCCTGACCCACCAACGCTAAATCATATAGTGGCTCGCGATTGCCTTCAGTAGCTATTTTCTCCCTCCGCTGGGGGCCCAGCTCCCCACGCTGCATCATTGCACCCATACACGGCGCTTGGCGCGTGCTGTCGCTCACGAACCTCGACACCCGGGCTCTGCCTTCCTCCCGGCACTCAGACCTGCTATTTCCCCATGCTCTTAGAGATGGAGCTTTGCCTCTCTCCCGGTTCTTGGGCCCCGCAATCACTCCTAGCCCCGGGGAGCCGACTTTCTCCCGGCGCCCACGCCCGCTATTGCCCCCGGTCTCGGCGTTGGGGCTTCGCCTCTCGCCCGATTTTTGGTGCATGAGCCCGTAAGTGCTCCCGGCCCCGAGCCCTTTATTGCCCCCGATGTCCGAATATCACTCCTGGCCCCAAGTCCCCAACATTGGGGATCCGCCTTCCTCTCGGCGCCCGAGCCTAGTATTGCACCCGACTCCCAGCTCGCGATTGCCTCCAGTAGCAGGTTCCTTGCTCCGCTAGGAGCTCGGCTCCCCCCGATGCATCATTGCACCCAGACCAGGAGCCCGGGTCCGCTATCGCTCCCGGACCCCTGCACCCGGGCTCCGCCTTTCTCCCGGCGCTCAGGCCCGCTATTGCCCCCCAGCTACGGGGCTTCGCCTCTATCCTGATTCTCGGCGCCCAGCCCGCTATCGCTACCGGCCCCCAGGATTCGCCTTCCTCCTGATGCCCACATACAATCTTGTCCTCGACTCTAGGCGTCGGGGCTTTGCCTCTTGCCCGATTATTGGTGCTCGGGTTTGCTATCGCTCCTGGCCCCCGGGCCTGTTAATGCCCCCAATGCCTGACTATCGGTCCTAGTCCCCAGCACCAGGCTCTGCCCTCCTTTCGGTGCCCGTTCCCGTTGTTGCCCCCAGCGTCGGGACCCGGCCTCTGTCTTCCTCCCGTCTCTTGGGCACGTTATTTCCCCCGGCGCCTCAACCCAATATCTCTTTTGGCTCCCGACACCCAGATCCACAAGTACTGCATCACTTGGATTCATTGCTTGTACTCCCACCTGCACATGTGTCATGCACTCTCCTCAATCATTCTCCATGTGGCATGAGTGTTCTCATTAGGCAAAGACATGTTTGACATGTGTACAACCATGTGCCAGGCGCAGATAGACATAGATAACACATGTCCAGGGACGTGTCTGTTTTCATCTCGGGCATCGACACCTGACCACCTTTTGTGCCCCAAGTAGACACTTTATAACCAACTCATGCTCTCTTGTGGAAGGGAAAGCAAGAGACCGGGAAAAATACCCTGAGAGCGCTCGCTGCAATCAGTGACTCTCATCTCTCAGGCTCACCTCCTGCAAACACCTTATGAACTATTTGATCCCCCGCACTAGAGACTAACTTGAGCATTGGAGGGTACCCCTGCCGAGATTGCCGGCCGACCCATTTTTGTAGGAAGCGATCAATGGCAACGTCATGGAAGAAGGTTACAATAAATGGGCATTTCAAATCGCTTCGGGGCCCAAGATCGACAAGGTCAACTGATTCGGGCCTAATTGCACATGTTTGCCCATGTTTTACTTAGATGTCTATGCCAAATTCTCTCCTTAAAGGTCGGTTTTACGCTAGGTTCTTCGTGTTTGAGTGTGTTTCAGGATTTAACAGGTGAAACAAAGCCTCAGAGTTGAAAGATCGGTGAAAAGGATCGAAAACCGAGAGAAGAGGTGAAAAAGCCAGTTCACGGTTCACTGAAGGAGTTCACGGTCATACAAGACCGTGAAGAAGGAGACTTGACCGTGAATCGTGAGGCGTCCAGAGCCAATGTGAAGGTTACTGACGCAAGGTCATTTCATGGTCATTAAGACCGTGAACACAAGAAGTTGCCCGTGAACTGACGTGAGCGATGCAGAGCGTTTTGGCGCACGCCTTGAGTTCACGGACACGTTTGATGGTTCACGGCCGTGAACTCAGCTCTTCTCGGGTTTAAAAGTTGAGTTGCAAGGAGGAGAGAAGGGAGAGCCCACTTTTGTGAGAAACACCTTCTTGAGCATTCTAGTGAGAGAAACAGAACCAAAGGGAAGAAGAAGGTTAGGGTTTGGCTTCAAGGCAGATTTTTGGGAAGATTTCCCCAAGGAAAGCTCAACTCAAGGGTCAAGAAGAGAGGAGGCATCCCCAAATATGGTTTCCACCTTTTTCCCTTTTGTTCTTCCCACTTCTACCATGGAGTAGACCTCCTTTCACTTGGGTGTAGTGAAACCCTAACTCTACCATGTTGTTTTCTTGTATGTGGTTTGGATGATTGTTATTGGGTATTGTTCAATTCAATGTTTGAGGCATTATTCACCATGATTGTGCATGCTTGTGCTTAGCAACTTAGGGGTTGTGCATGTTTTGTGCTTAGCATCTTGGAGATTGTGCATAATTGTGCTTAGCACCCCTAAGTTTATGCATATAGGTGCTAGTAATATAATTTGCCACCTTAGCCTAGTTTAGAGAGGAAAATCCCCCTTTCAAGGGAGACTCAATCGAGTTGGTTTTCCTTCCGATTTCTAAGCCACCTAAACTAGGTTGAGTTAGGGAAACCCTCAATATTGAATTAAACAAGTCGATTAATCGTGGTTAAACCGTCCGACCTTTGAGTTGAGTGAGGAAGTAAGCCGATTACCGATTGTCTAAACCGAGAGGGTCGAGTGGCACAACCTTTCATCCTCACCTCGGTTTAGCAATTGAGACCGTGGTCTCCGACCACATACTCTTTCCTCTGCGGTTCATGATTAACGTGCCCAAGGCAATCGTTACAATCCACAATCATGGTAGCGGTTAGGGCGAAGCGAAACCTGAGTGACTTTCCCACAAAAGAGTTTTCAAACCCAATCACTTTTGTTTTCTTTTACTTCAATTAGCAAACCTTTTAAACCAAAGTTTAGTTGCTAGATAATGATTACAACAATGGAAGTAGGGATAGACGGACCGGCTCGGGTCGATATCTAAATACTTGCCCTATACTGCATCCGATTAGAGTTTAAAAACTTGGGCTCTAATTGGGGTTTAATTGTGGTGTAGTTTCATGTGAGTCATCGACGTCCTACAACCCGACATCAACAACATTGTATCCCTTAAAGTCAACATGTCCACAATTATATGATCATAAATGAAATCATATCTATTGCCTCTGTCGCTACCACACCACTAGATGGATCATGCAAAACCCAGCCCCCAATGATGACACTCATTTATAGTGTTTATCACTCTCATATTTGACATATTTTCCCCTTCTATCAATGCATCTTTAGTCCTTTCTCTTGGATTCCTTATTTGATTGTAACTATTTGATCAATGAGCCTTTAGTAGACTTAGGATGAGCCCATAAGAAATTATCCTCTAGTGATACCCCATTGATGTTATACAAGTATAGAGGGAATGATCAATCATTTATACATAGAGTAGTATCAATGCTTGGTTGTTACAACATTGATGCTATAAACCATCGATTATGACTCAAGAGGCTCACACTTAATCATGTGTTGTCTTAACTCCCTTGTTCGTCATTAATTAGGTGATGGCATGAAGCGAAAAACACGCATTAGGTAATTAAATCTCTGTCAACCACCCCCTAATTGAGGACCAGTTCTCGCTCTCTATGCAATGCATATGCATAAGCAAGATGATACCAAATTTTATCAATTAAGCTCCTGTAGTCTCACCAACCCGGATGATCTGATTATGAACTGGGCTAATTGGCAGGGGAATGGCAGCAATCAACCACACTGTATTTTCCTCAAAACTTTGGTAGAGACTGTCCAGACGCCAACATCCTTGCAGTGGCCGAATCAAAGTGGCAACCGACCCTTGCACCCCCACAATACCTAGACAAGCATGGGGAGGATGAGGATGCGAAGCCTGGACCCAGTTATCTCTAAGTACATCCACCATCGCACCAGAGCCCACATGCCAACACAAACCCTATCGCTAGTAAATCTCGACCATGCGAGATACCATGCCAACCCCAAGGAACAATGAGTCAGAATTTTCCTATAACAATGATTAGTTAGGGAAATATTTTCCTTTCAAAAGTCGAGCCACCAAAGACTCGGGTTCCTTCCAAATGCGCCAGGAAACTTTTGCCAGAAGGGTCTGGTTGAATTCTTAAAAATGACGGAACCTCATTCCCCCCTTCTGCTTACTCATACAAAGAGCTTTTCATGCAACCCAGTGTATTCTCCTTTCCCGTGCTACACACCGCACCAAAACTTTGACAAATGTCTTTTCATTGTTCGGCATAGCAATAGTGACACTAGAAAGCAAGACATAATGATAATATACACCGGCAAAGCATTAACTTCTGATTTGATGAGTACCTCCTTACCCGTCAAAGACAGACGTTGTTGCTTCCCGCCCTTAAGTTTACTTAGTAACCGCTCCTCAATATACCTAAATGTTTCCAAATTTGATCTCCCCACCAAGGAAGGAACTCCAAATATGGATCAGTGACTCCGATCGCACCTAACCCCAAAATACAAGGCATCTCAATGCCCTCAACTGAGATTACATTCTTGCTAAAGCACATTGCTGACTTATTCAAGTTGACATTTTGTCCACTGCACATCTCGTAAAGTCCTAAAAATTCCCCGAGAGCTTCACATTCCTTAGGAGAAGCATGAAGGAAGAGCTACGAGTCATTCGCAAAAAAACATATGTGAAATCACCGAACATCGGAGGCTTATGCACAACCATGTAAGGGAGTGGCTTTCCAAAGATTAGTGAATTATAAAAGCAAAGCCCTCTGTGGATAGAGCAAACATAAGGGGTGATAGTAGATCTCCTTGTCTCGGGCCTCGAAATTCTTGAAAGTAACCAGTCGGCCGTCCATTCATCATGAAAGGACACAAAACTAACTCAAAAACCCTTGTAGGAAAAACATCTACAATACTAATAAGGAAAACAACACTAAACTTACTATAAAAACCCCTTCCCAAACTTAGCTTCCAACTCAGTTGCTTGCTACCTAAGTAGCTAGCTTCCTGTGCATGTAACAAGAACTACTTCCATACCAACTTCAGGCTCTTTGTTCGAAGTCCTCCAAATTGAGTCGAGCTCAACCAATTCCTTCACACTCTTCAGCAAGACATGGACTTTCAATTCCAACTGATAGCTGCCTTCGAATGTCCCTCAAACAGTTCTAATAAGCCTCCAAAGATGGCACCTCGAAACTGTTCCCATACTTGGCTAAAATTACAGTTTGCAACATTAGAACTGGGCTGAGTCTATTTGTAATTAGAAATTTAGAATGTGAAAAGATCCTCCCACTCCTGAATCTGATTCATACACTTGGTTTCATATTCTGGTATGGCCGGCTAAGCACCAAGATTCTACTGCCATATTGGCTACTGCAAATTAATATCGAGCTTCATTCCACACTAACTTACTAGAAGGTAATGGAAGACAGGTTACAACCGAGGTTTCGTTACTAGCAAACAACTAGAATTAATAGATGAAAGCAGGTTTCATTACTAGTCCCAACTCTCCAAGATATTTCTACGAAGGCATTATTCAAATTAGTGAAAGTGTTTATGAGACAGAGATCCTCAATATTGGTTCTCAAAACTGTGCTTGTGCCACACTAGCTAGCTGTGTCAGTGTTTCTTTCTACCCTTACCCTTCTTCTTCCCGTGCTTCTTCTTTCCTCCACCACCTCCATTCTTTTGTTTCCTCTCTCTATCCATCATAGAAGAGTCCGGGATGCGGCTTTCAGATAGACCGCCTGACTTCACCAAATGCTTCACATCCAACACACCGTTCTTGAAAAACCCTTCTGTGGATCTAAGTACCCTGCTCTCTTGTTTTCGCTTCCCTCCAAAAGTACGAGCACCACCACCACGCTTACCACTGAACCTGCCGAGAGCCATCTCCTGAGACACAGGACGGATAACATACATGAGATCCAATTATAGCTGAATGAATGTATGGTCGTGACTAATAATTTAGACCAAGAAACAAATCACCTCTTGGAGCAATTTTTGTTCTCTTTCTTTCTGATTCTTCATTTGTACTCGAGCCACGCTTAAAGGAAGCCTTTGCTTCTTTGCAGGCTGTGTTCATGGCATGGCAGGCATCATCCATAGCAGAACATTAGAGGGGTGCTCCCGAATATACATACAGCTATATAGCAAAAAGAAGAGTGATTTTACCTTCCCACCAAGTTCAACTGCCTTCTGGTTCTCCATTTGCTTCCTTTCTTTCCATGTAAATGCACCTATACACAGATCGATGGACGCATATATAAGAAGCAGCGTTACAAGGTGCAGCAAGAAGCTTCACAGTCGCTTTAGAAGCCCCAAAAGCTACAGAAAATGTCAGACTCCGTGATGACAGGGATTCAGAATGGAAGTAAACCTAAAACGATGATGCGATCTCATTTGTAGCCAACATCCCGTGGCTGTAAGGAACTTATCGAGAAACCCTAAAATGAATCCCTATAGAAATAGTGTCGTCTGGTTTCTCGTCCTAGAAAAGACGTCCGATGGTCCCCCGGTACTAAGATCTCAACGCTGCTGAATAGAAAACAATCCAATTCTGAAGCTACTATAACACACCAAATTCTTACAACCCTAGAGGAGCTGCTGAACAAAATCACCGTGGAACTAACCAAAAACAAGAAGCGAGCAATAAGAACCGAAAATCGGGAGCTTGGAAGAGAGTAGAAGAAGTACCGAAAAGGGTGACATCTTTCATAATCTGCTTGAAGCTCAGTACATGGGACTCTGAATCGGCGTCAGCGTCGGCACCGGCATCTTTATCACCGCCACTGCGGCGAGTTTGGTCTCTCCGATTCTTCATTCTCTTCAATATGTTTCGGCCCGGTTTCGCGGTTTGAAATTAGCACTACACGAGACGAAGGCAGCTGCTGGATGGAACGTAAACTTAGCCTGCCGCTGCCTGCTAGGTTTTAGGAAGCCTTCCTTCCGCCTTTGCCTGTGTGCGTACGTTTCTTCCTGCTCAGCCGAACCAAACAACTGGAGAAGAGGAAAAAGCATTACTGGGCCTGCGCACCGTTTGTGATGAGTGGGCTTATAGAACGCAAACCAGCCGACCAATAATTTTTTGGGTTATAGCTTATACGTATTATACTGAATTGCTATTCGTCGCCTTAAAATTCAAATATTATTGTCCTAAAACGTAACAAATTGACATATTTACCCCTCCATTTTATTTCAATTGTATACCCTAACCAAAGAAGACATTGTCCTAAACCCTCAATTAAAGTCCACAGATCTACACAAGAGTTCTGGCCGCCAATTGGGCTTCTGACTTTCCCGCTCCGTCTCGTGTGCAGCCGGCGGGAGATGAAGTAACGGAGGATAGAGGAGTAGCAAGAATGGAAACTGAAGCGCTCGGTCTGAAATTCCCGCACCCCAAAAAATGGCAACGGAAGCCGCACCCATTTTTGGCTGGAGCGATGAGATACTCGCTGCATGTAGTGGTCCCCAGAAAACCCTTGAGAGAGCCGGTTCAAACTCAATCCATGGCAAACATAAACCAGCTCCAAGAGCATCCGATGTCGACGAAACATCTGCCCCTAATTTTTGGCCCGCCTCCCATCAATGTACAAATTGCAGCGCCGTCGGTAGAGGTGGCAAATAGGGATGGCAACAAAACCCGAACTCACGGGTACCCTATCCGACCCAACCCGGTCAACGCGTAAAACTCGTGTTGACACGTTTTGGACCGAGTTTGGGTTTAAACCAGTTCAATATTCACCGATTTAGGTTGGGTTTGGTTTACGTAAACCCGTCCCATGGGTACCTGCCCACACCCATATAATTAATTTTACAGATATATTTAATATTCTAAACAACTAATCTTCTTTATGTTTGTGGAGACATGTCTAATTTTTTTCTTTCAAATGTGTAAAATGAAGTTGATAATATAGAGTGGAGATTGAAGAAGCTTAATTGACAAGGAGGAATAAGTTTTCAATTAATCATGTTGTTTATGAATAATTTGTGATTTGTTTCAATTTTCTTGAGTTTTCTAGATTGGTGTTGAACAATTTGTATGGTTAATTTGTGATTTGCTTGAATTTTTAAGAATGGTGTTTTATATATGGATAACTTGTAGGGATGGCAATGGGCCCGCGGGCCATGGGCATCCGCTAGGGCCCGCCCGCCAGTGTTGGGCTTAAACCCGCAAAAACGGGCTGGCTGCCGGTGTCGGGCATACCCGCGGCCCGTGGATTGCGGTGACGGGCTGGGGACGGATTCAGAGATCCCCGCCCCGTATCCGCCCCGATAACAAAACGGCGTTGTTGTGTACAGCATATATAAAGGGCGATTTTAGGGTTAGGGTCTGGAACCTTCATTTTCGCAAACACCCAGCCGCCCTCTTCCCCGATTTTCTCTGAAATCTGCCCAAATCTCTGCGATTTCGATGATTTCTCCCCATTTCTCTACTGAAATCCCTAGTAAATCGACGATCCCATCGCCAATAACCCCAAAGCTAGTCCTTAATCAAGCCCTCAATCACCTAAAATGTCTCAACCGACGCAAATCGCCTTCTTATCGTGCATGCAGACGAGTTCTTTCCCCGATCCAGGAAGATAAGTATTCAATTCGTTCTTTCCTTAATCGAGTTTTGCTTAAACGTGTATAAATAGGAGTCTCACTTCTTCGTTTTGTTCATCTGCAGTTCTTCGAACCCTAATTCCAGAAACCCTAGCCTTCCAGATTTGGAATCCCACTGCTTGTCCGTCATTCTCAGTAAGTTTAGCATAATGAAGTTCATTATATGATTTGTTGCGGGTGCTTGCTTAGTCTTTCAGAATAGAAAACACTAATTTTGCCGGCTTCTCTGTTTTTGCAGATTTCCCCTTTCCGTGCTGGTATTTCATCAAGCAGGTGGTACTTAAACTGCAGTCTGCTTAGGTAAGTTTTCGACCTAGCTAGTTGTTAGTTGTTCATAGTTAAATCTGACTCACAATCACTAATTTTGCTTGCTTGTGTTTGTGCAGATTTCTCCTCTCTGTTCAGGAATCTCATCAAGCAGCTAGTGCTTAAACTGCAATCTGCTTAAGTGAGTGGTCGACCCTACCTTGTTGTTGGTTGTTCGTAGCTAAACCTTAACCTGTAAAATTGATTATGTTGTAAGTAAACCAAATGGTGAAATCTGTAATGTGCTAAACTGGTCAATTTATGATTGTAAGTTCGAAACTGGTAATCCTAATTTTGTATATGCTAAACTCAAGTACTGAACACATCTAAATTGTTAAGTACTTAAGTTCGAAACTGTAATATAATAAATGGCATTGGTAATGCTACTCGAATCTTTTAATCTGTTAAATACTAAAGTGCTTTATTGTATTCATTAAGTTGAATACAATAAACTCCAAATCCAGTAACTTCTAATATGTAATCCTAAAGGCTAAAGTACTCGAACTAAGTAACACAACGAGACACTAGTCATCTTTCTAAAGCATTTTTTTTATTTCTCCCTCTTAAACAGATGGAACCCCAACACGTTGAGAATGCTCCTGCTAATGATGTTGTTGCCCCTCCTCCTGGTAATACTAATAATGTTGAGGAAGATGTTCTTCCTCAACATCCCTTAGGTGCTAGTAGGGGATTAAAATATGATGGTTGTCCTCATTTCACCAGGATGATGGTTTCTGGGGTATTGAAAGCTAAATGCAACTACTGTAAGAAGGTGTTGGCTGGGAAATCTAGTAATGGTACTTCACATCTTAGGACTCACAGAAACAGATGTGTTCATAAAAAAAATTCATGATGGGAGTCAAAAGGTTCCTTGGTGCTAACTATAGTGCCAATGGAACAGCTGATATGAGTACCAATCAGTTTAGTAGTGAGGTGTCTAGAAAGAAGCTCTGCACCATGATCTTGGTGCATGAGTATCCCCTTTCTGTTGTTGAGCACCTTTATTTCAAATGGTTTTGCTGCACCTTGAACCCTCTCTTTAAAGTCCCAACCAGAAATACCATAAAGAAGGACATAGTGACTATTTATGGTTTAGAGAGGTCTAAGATTCAAAAGGTTCTTGACGAAAACAAAGGGGGATAGCTGTCACCACTGACATATGGACTGCCACAAACCAAAAACGGGCCTACATGGTTGTTACTGCCCACTATATCGACAACTTTTGGAAGTTGAGAAACCATCTTTTAATGTTTGGTTACCTCCCTGCCCCACACACTAGTGAGAAGCTGGCTGTAAAGCTAGCTCAATGCCTCCAATCTTGGAACATTGATAGTAAATTGTCAACAATTACACTTGACAATTGTACTACCAATGATTCAATGATTAATCTAGTGAAAAAAGGTTGGTTTTGTCTAATCTAATTAGGGATGGGACACTTCTTCATATGAGGTGCTCTGCTCACATCCTTAATTTGATTGTGAGGGATGCTCTTGATGTTATGAAAGATGGAATTGAGAAAATTAGGGAGAGTGTGGTCTTTTGGACATGCACACCTAGGAGGGTGGAGTCTTTCCATGCAACTGCCCAACAACTAAAACTACCTGTTTCTAAGAAATTGGTTTTAGATTGTCCCACTCGGTGGAATTCCACCTATGAGATGCTTTCTGCTGCTATCCCGTATAAGGAGGTGTTTGAAATATTGAAAATAAGGGAGGCTCAATATGAATCTGTGCCTACCAACGAGCAGTGGGATTTTGCTGCTGTTTTGGTTGACAAACTTGATGTTTTCAAGGACATAACTTTGGTTTTTTTGGTTCAAACTACCCAACAGCGAATAAGTTTTTTCCCAAAGTTTGTGATTTGAGGTTACGATTGGTGGAATGGTTAAGTGACCCTAATCCGATGATCGTTTCTATGGCTGGGAATATGTGGAATAAGTTTGCCAAGTATTGGGATGATATTCATTTGTTGTTGGTCGTGGCTGTTGTGTTGGATCCACGTTACAAATTGGAAATTGTTGAGTACTATGCTGGTACATTTGGTATTACCAATACAGATCTTGTTTCTGAAAGGGTGAGAACTGTGCTTGCTGACCTGGTTGTTGAATACCAAAGGAAATCCTCCAAAAACTCGCTGGTTACTTCTAGTGTGCATCCTTGTTCTTCGGCCACTGATCTGGATTTTGATTTATATGTGAGCCAAAGAAAGAAAACTAGAACAAATGTGGTTACTACCGAGTTAGATCACTATCTAGCTTAGTATGTTCATCCTAGAACACCAGACTTTGATTTGTTGGGTTGGTGGAAGTTCAATGGTGCCAAGTATCCCATTTTGCTAGAAATTGCAAGGGATTTACTTGTTGTGCCTGTTACTAGTATTGCATCAGAATCTGCATTTAGTTTTGGTGGGAGGCTTCTTGATCCCCATCGGAGCAGACTTGATCCTAAAACAGTTGAAGCAATGATGAATTTAAGGACCTGGGTCAAGGATGATAGCAAAGGTAATATGCTTCTTTAGTTCTTGCCATGGTTTCTTTCTATTTCATTATTTCTTTCGAAGTTGACTAATTCTTGCATTCTTTGGTAGTGTCTGCCTCGGAAGTGAAAGCGTTGGAGGGGGTGTTCTCGGCAATGGCAATGGATGATGTAACGATAGAAGAGAGCACAGGTAAGCCTCTTTGAATTTTTGTAACTGTTAATCTGGTTTGGGAATTTACTAAACTGTTTATTTTTGTGATAGATGGAGCTAAAGTGTCGTCCCATATGGGAGGATATGAAGATGATCCTGTCGTGAACCTTGTGGACTAGTTGTCTAGTTCTAGGTTTGTAACTGCTCTGCTCACATTTCCCTACTAATGCTAGCTACTTAGTTAAATTCTGAAAACATGTTTATACTGTCTAATTGCAGAATAGTGTCCATTAGCCATTAGTTGGTGAATTACAATTAATGGGGAATGATGGGTTCTTGGTTTGCATTCTTGGTTTGCTGGAGAATGATGCATTTGGATTGCTGATGCGTTACAAATAATGTTGCTGCTGCTCTGCTGATCTGCTGACATTGTTGTTATGCTGATGGAAGACGGATTGGCAGTTTTCTGATGGAAGAAAGATTGTTGCTGTTTAGTACTTTCTCTACTAGCTATAGGTATGATTTTGTGTTGAACTACCACATGTTCATTTGTGGTGTAGTACTGTAGTTTCTGGGTTTGTCACCTCTGAGTTCAGATTATTGGTTTCTGGGATTTTGTTACACTGTTTGGGTTCGTGGTGGTGGTGGTGGGGGGGGGGGGGGGGGGGGGGGGGGGGGGGGGGCTTAGTTCACTGAGTTAAGTTCTTAGTTGTTGAGTTTGCAAGTTCTGGGTTTGCTAGTTCATGGAACAAGGTTGCATGCTATAAATGTTTGTTTTCAGTTCATTTTCATTCTGCTTTATTGACTTGGATTTTATGTTTTGTAACTGCCTGTTTTTTAAGAATTCGGGCATCCAGTGGCCCGCGGGTTCACCTGTACCCGCATGGGCTTGGGCTTGGGACAGATTTTGTGCCCGTATAGCATAGTGGGCCGGGTGCGGGTAATACCCGCAGGCTTAAATGGTGGGCAATGGATATAGGGTATCCGCACCGTACCCGGCCCATTGCCATCCCTAATAACTTGTATTGAAATATTGATATTTGACTTTTATTTTGATAGAGACTTGTTATTGTAAATTTTTCACGAAAAAACCCATGGGTACCCATGAACCCGCGGATACCCAGCGGGTTAGGTTGAGTTTGAGTTTTACAAACCCAGTAGGTTTTACCCCATATTTTTTCACGGATAAACCCATGGGTTTGAGTTTGGGTTTGGCAAAACCCGACCCAACCCGACTCATTGCCATTACTAGTGGCAAATGAATTGATCCATGGATTGGTGGATTGGATTAGTAGATCCATGGATCCAATGGATTGGTGGATTCATGGATTGGATCAAGTGGATTGTTGGATGATGACTCGGTATTTGCACATGTTTTCCCCTTTGTTTCTTGATTGTTTGAGCTTGAATTATTGCGTCTTTGTCCTATTTTATGCTATGTTGTGTTACTTTGTCACATTTCAGGTCCTAGCACATAACGTGAAGCATAGGCGAAAGTTTCAAATCAATCAGAGATCATTCGGCAATTCGGGAGAAGAAACTCGGGCATGATCTGAAGAAGAATGGATTTCTACCTCACTTTATGGACAAATAATCATGAAATTTTGTCATGAAAAGAAAGAGGACGAGACTACGAGCGCCTGGGATCAAACGGGGACTGATTCGGAGTCCGGACGAGGGAGAAACGAAGGATTAAACAGAGGCTGAGCAAGCCACACGGGCACGACCCACACGGCCG